AAATGTTTTGACCCCTAAACCCTCCCTCTCCCCTCCCTCGAAACTCTCATAACTAAACCCTAATAGGCTAATAGAACATAATTAATCCAAACATAAATAATATAAAGAAAAATAATTTTGAAAAAGTATTATTTTTTGTAAAGATTTTAAAAGTGTGGCATTTTTGTAAAGWRRMAMWWRAAAAATGGCATTTTTTGAAATTTCTCCATATTTTAGTAGAACGATTTTTTTCTTTTTTCTTAATTAGTTCGTAATCTTTGTTTAGAATATATTCCTTATTTTATTTTGTTTATTTTTGTTAATATTAGAAATATTACATCGTTTAGTAGAACGATTTTTGTTTTTTTTCTTAATTAGTCAATAATTCTTATTTAGAATATATTCCTTATTTTTTATTTAAATATTTTTGTTAATATTGATACATGTAATAATCTAAATTAACAATTACATATGTCATCTAGTGTTTAAAAATTTTACATACATGTGTCAAGTTCTCATCGCGCGCATTCTCCTTTATACATTACGATGATTGTTACCAAAAAAACTTCACAATAACAGAATCTGATTGCTATGGAGCAAACCCTCTAAACAAAACAGAGTTTTTATGTAATAGAGATTGAGAAACCTTCTAATGGACTTAGAGGCTTATCATCCTTAATCCAAGGTTTCAGACACAAGCATCTATGGCTGTCCTCGGCTTCGCTCCTCCATGGATTGTCCTGAGACAAGCTTTCCGAACAGTCTCAGCTTCTTTTTATCACAAAACCCTAATAAAAAAACGCTCTGTTTCCCCTTCGTTTCCTTTCCGACATTCAGGTTTCATTTCCCACTATCTGGGTTTTGTGTTTGAGTTTTTCGATTCAATTTGTAAACTTTCATATACACTTTTGAAATTTAGAGGTTAAAGGATTGAAATTTAGAGTTTTAATGAAATCCCTAAATTAAAAAATTGTAGCTTTGAGAAGATTTCAAGTTGCAGAAGCAATAAAAGGAGATGTAGATTCTCTTCTTAAAGGAGTTGGAGACCAATCTATTGCTAAAGAGATTAAGCATGTTCTTGAAATGGTATTTTTCCATTTTGTTGTTTCTCTAACCTTTGATTCTCTCTGTTTAGTGTTTACTTCAATCTGATTCTATCAATGGGATTGTTTTATAGGCGAGACGTGTAACGTCGAGAAGAGAAGTTCTTCACACTGATTTTCTTACTCCACCTATAGTTAAAGAATCAGTTTCAGTATTGGGAAAACTTGCTGATGTTACAATTGTTGCTCAAGGAGGTTACCCTGAGGTTTGGTTTTTGTCATCTTTGAAAGAAAAGTTTGTTATGAAAAATGTGAACTTTAGCTGATAAGTTTTTGCGTGGAATCGTCGTCTTTTGTATTTAGGCTGAGCGGTGTAGGATCTCGATTGGACATCATGATGTGTTAACTAATGATCCAGATATAGTTGCTGCTTTGAGGTACAACAAATTCATGAATTCTTGAGTTTTGTTCTTTGTATGAATTTTTGAATATGTTAATGTTGGTTTTTTCATTTTTGTAGTATCTCAGGGAATTTCGGGTTTCAACCTTGTTCTCACGGTGATTTCCTTGGTGCGATTCTTGGCACGGGGATTTCGAGGGAAAAACTTGGGGATATTTTAATTCAGGTATCATTTGATTGATTCTGTATAACAACACTCTTCAATTCCATTACAAAATCTTTCTCCTTTAACACCGTTTCTTTTCGCTATTTTGGCCTGATGGTTCTGAAGGAAGACAAAGGAGCGCAGGTCCTGATAGTTCCCGAATTAGTTGACTTTATTGTTTCATCTCTTGACAAGGTTAAACCTTTGTGGCTAGTTTATATAACCCATTAACCAATATCTTGCTCTGAAGTAGTCTGAGTTTATGAATGAATCTTTCGTAGGTTGGAAATGTTTCTGTAACGTGTACTAAGATACCTTTGCTTGCTCTTGAATACGAACCTCCTAGGTACAAACACTAATCCCTCAGAAACATACCCTCCTGTGCCTTGAGAAGGTTTTTTGCATTGGCTTGACTGTTTTCATGTTTTGTGGTTTAGGACTAATTCCTTTAAAACCGTGGAAGCCTCATTGAGAGTTGATGCAGTAGCTAGTGCTGGTTTCAAGATTTCGCGTTCAAAACTAGTTGATTTGATTAGGTAAGATTAGCTTCCT